CTCACCCTAGATTAAGACTATAAATAATTTAAGGTAAGTAATGAGTGCACTATGTGTGTATTGTACTTTTTTATTGTTTTTTGATGCCTGGTTCTATTGCTAACATAATATATGTTAGTGTAAACTTGTTATCTAGTGTTTGTATGCATTTGTAAGTGGAAAAAAAGGGTGTTCCACTTTACGGCGGTTTCCGCTTTACGGCGGTAGCCTGGAACCTAACCGCCGTATAAGTGGGGCCCTCCTGTATATGTACATTGCACCTTACTTTGGTCTCACAGGCCACACAAGTTAAAAAATAAAACAGTGAAAAAAACACGAAACCTTTGAATAGAAGTACATAAAGCAAAGTTTACCGGGTGAGCGGCATTCGCCGCTGTTGCTATGTGCGGCTCATTTTCTGCCAACTTTACTCCTCTATATCTTGGTAAGATTAATCGCAGAAATTTTTGGGGGCTTAAAACAATCAGAAAATTAATCTTAACATTTTGATAAGAAATTTTTTTTTTTTGAATATTTTTTGACACCAGGAGACACTTCAGGAAATGGGGATGCAACAGTCGAAGGGTTAAGTAGTCTTTAACCCTTTCAGGGTCCAGACCCCTGATCTGAAACTTGTCCACAGGGTCCAAGAATTATCCAAAAAAATTTTTGTTATTTTTTTCTAATGAAATGGTAGAGACTCTTTTTCTAAAGATAATAAAGCAAAAAGTACAAAATCTGGTGGAAAATTTATGAAATTATGCTCTTGCGAATTTTGTTGCATCAGTGATATTTAGGCATTGGCGATTTTGCCCATTTTGACTCCCATTTTCAGCCAATTACATTACTCCAGTCGACCAAATTCATAACTATATCGCTAGTATTACTTCTATTTTATCGACTGAGCACAAGAAATTGCCTAATCAACTATTTCAACCACCCAATAAAGTGATAGGAAATTTGTAATTTGGCCAATTTCACACAGTGTTCAAAATATTCCAATTTCTAAATAGAGTCCAGAATAAACAATGCATTCATTCCTGGCACTAAAATAATGTTTCCTATGTTTATCTGATAAGTTTCCAGGCTTTACAAACACATTCCATTTTGATTTTTTATTCACATAATGAATTTTTCTTCACACACAAAAAAATAGATTTAATATTATGCAATATTGTAATAATTGTATAAATAATATCAGCACATTCATGAACGTACATTAGACCCACCAGATGAAGTGTATTGGACACGTGACATCATCTGTTTACTCTTGAACATAAGTAAAAATCGAACATTTCCACTATTTTCAGCTCAGTTTCAAGTCATTTTCAGTACTAAAACCAATCAAATTCATCTCTATTTTTGTAATATATATATAAGACCAAGAAACTGAAAATACAACTGTAAATCATACAAAAATACACTGCAAAGTTGCTGTTTTAACACTTTGGGGGTCGACAGGTCCTCTCAGATACTTGTTCTCAGAGTCGGCCAAATTTAAAAAAAAAACAAAAATTATTTTTTCTTATGAAAAGATAGAGAATATTTTCCCGATCATAATGACACCAAAAGTATGAAATTTGATGGAAAACTTACGGAATTATGCTCTTGCGAAGTTAGCGGTCTTGACGATGTTTACGCATCGGCTATTTTGCCCACTTTGAGCCCTATTTTCGGCCAATTCCAGTGTACTAGTCGACAAAAATTCTAACTATTTCGCTAAAACTCCATTTTTTTCTATCGAATGAGTACAAGAAACCACCCATTTACTGATTTCAACTATCCAATAAAGTGGTCAGAATTTAGCAATTTTGCCAATTTCACACAAATTTCAAACGATGCCAATTTCCGAATAGGGTCCAGAATAAACAAGAAAGACATTCCTGGCACTAAAATAACAAGTTCTCTGTTCGTTAGTCACATTCCCAGGCCCCTCTTATATTTCTTCGGCTTTCCACTTTGAATTTTTATTCTTACAAAAAAAAGAATAAGATTTACTGCCATGCAGACTACTGCATTAGTGTAGAAATGGTATAAATAATATCAGCGCACTTGCGAAAGAATATTAGACTCACCAGTTGATGTGTACTGGACGCTTGGCATGATTTGTTTGCTTTTGAACTTTGGTAAAAATCGAACATTTCTGCTACTTTGAGCTCAATTTCAAGGTACTTTTCATTGTAAAACCAGTCAAAATCATCTCAATTTCTGTAATATGTCTTCCATAATATAAAATGAGACCAAGAAAACTAGAATACAACAATAAATACCATACAAAAATACAGTGCAAAGTCGCTGTTTTAATCCAAAAACACGGTCAAAGTTTTTTTTTTCTCATTATGCACTGTGTGCTGCAGGATTTTTTTTATACTGTGCACACTGACCACATAGACCCATTCTTACATATATAGGACTACCAGCATTCTCTCACTAGATTTGAGGGCGCTAGATTTAGCGTAAGTACGTCAAAAACCCAGGGTCCTAAGATGTACTAGTACGCTCAAAACCCCCAAAGGGTTTTAATTCAAAAACACGGTCTCAGTTTTTTTCTCTCATTATACACAGTGTGCTGCAGGATTTGTTTTATATGGTGCACACTTACCACATAGATGCATTCTCTCATATCTAGGCCCAAATTTACCGCTCACAGCTTATCTGAGAGAGCTGAGCTCATGGCGTAGAACTACAGCTTGGACCCTGGCTTCAAAGCCATAGAACTATGGGGGGGACCCTCAAAGGGTTAAGTATTAGGTTAAGTCTGCCTCAGCATGATAGTGGCTTTCTTTATACCAATCAAATTATGAAATGTAAACACACATTGCAACCTTAGCAGAGAAACAAATTCTGATTTTGATTTTGATGAATTCCCAATGGCTGTGATTGCACTGCATAAGAGCAGCCATCATGCATGGAATAGTTCTGCTCCAACAGGACAGAAATTACATTCATTGCAGCACTTCATCATACATTTTCATAACCAGGGAGAGACCCCATATCGAAAAGTCCCTCTTCCCAGGACTGATAGGCCTAAATTAATCTCCCAAGAAACCTGAAAGTGATTGCTCATCAAGTATAGGCAGATCCTTTCATCACAGCATGAGAACTGGAGAAAAGTGGTCATTTATAAGAATATGTCTCCAGCAGTCACTCCAAAATATTATTATAATCAAGACCAAGCATTAAACTCACCAGGGTCATACAGGATGATACATATGATAACTTGGGATTTAAAAACTTTCATGCCTGCAGTAAACTTCTTCTCACAGTGTGGCAAAAGGAGAAGAAAATAAAATTTTGCAAGAAATACCATGAGAAGAGTTTGGAGAAGTAGAGGAGAGCTTTGTGGTGGATGAATCAACAAGTACAGAGACTGGTACTGGTGGTAGTAGGGTGTACCAGTGACTGGTAATAGTGGTAGGAGGGTGTAGCAGACACCTCACTCTGACCTACACCTCCCAAGACTGTGTAACACACTGTGCCCATCATGGTGTAGGTGCAACACTGTACCATCATGGTGTGTGTAACACTGTACCATCATGGCATAGGTGTAACACTGTGCCATCGTAGTGTGGAGATATTACACTTATCATGGTGTTGTGGGATTATTAATACTTTCCAGAAAGGTCAAGATGAATCAGAATAATACTTAGAACTTATAATGAATCATTTGCCTTTGTTTATACAAGACAATGCTCCTGGTCACACTGCCAAGTGTCAGAAAGTGGTTAAGTGATTGTAAAGTGCCCTATTTTACTCACCAATATGTATGTGTAGTGTGTGTGTGTGTGTGTGTGTGTGTGTGTGTGTGTGTGTGTGTGTGTGTGTGTGTGTGTGTGTGTGTGTTATGTGCATGTGTGTTAGTACGTGTGTTTGTATACATATGCGCATGTGTGTTTGAGAGGCAGTGCAGTGAAGCCAGTGTTGTACATGAGTCTTCACAAGACAGTCTGGCGGAGTGCAGAGGAGGAAAGTCTTAGCAGGAAGCTGCACAAACAGAATCAATTAATATACAATAAACTTTTGATAATTCAAAAAAGCTTAAAAGAAGAAATATTTGAAATCATTATTAAATTGAATATAATAACATTTTAATTCATACAAAATCTATTGAAAAAGGTGATTAATCATTTCAAAACACTATTATTGTTAAAGTTAATGACAGAAAATTATTACACAGGAGAAGAGTTTTCTCTCTGTATAAATGTTAAGTGAGAGAACATATTAACACCTTAATATTGAGAAGATTATAAACAACAGTAGCTGGAACAACCTGTATGGTACAAGATATTGATGTGTTAATACATGGTTCACACATGTCTTGTACTCACCCAGGTGCAAGATACTGATGCAGAAATACATGGTTCACACATGTTATGTACTCCTGACATTCACTTGTATAATTTTCAAAGTATTAATACCAACTTGCTGTGAAAGCAACAATATCAATATGAACTGTGCCTACTAAGATACAGGAGTCCCTTGATGTACACTAAACACATACATTCTCAGCCTTAGACAGTGTTTGAAGGTCAGTCAGGCCATGCTTTGTGAACCATACTGAGCTGTACCAGAAGTCACTGGCACCAGCAGTGCTGTGGTTGGCATCAGCAGTGCTGTGGCTGGCACCAGCAGTGGTGTGGTTGGCATCAGCAGTGCTGTGGCTGGCACCAGCAGTGTTGTGGCTGGCACCAGCAGTGCTGTCACTGGCATTAGTTCTTATTGCATAAGTTCTTATGTTCTTACATTTTGGTTCATCTTCGAATCTTACAAAGATGTAATTAATTAAAAGCTGAGGATGGATGAGAGTGTTATCATAAGTCTGCTGACTCAGGTGTGAGTTAGGTAGGAAAGTTCCAGCCACAATGTTGTCAACTTTCTTCTAAACACTTAAGGTATTTAAATGCTCATTAGTCAACACATTTCACACTTGCTAGTAAACATGCACTTAAATATTATGGCTTCAACCATTTGTAAACTACAACAAAGTATAACATGTTGTGGATTCATTACATGTGGCACACCTTTCTGACTCTCATGTTTGTCCACTTTCTCAATGTGGTCCCAGCCAGCGGCAGACTTGTCCTGCCTATCCGTCTGTACGCCAAACTTGCCGCCAAATCCTTTAGAATAGTCTGCATGAGGCAAAAATACTGAAGCTGTAAAACATGGCAGAAGCAACAGCAACAATTAAGATAACACTTATACCTACCCATGAAATTATTCTTCACATTAACTAATATTATTCATAAGAAAATTAATATTTGGAGAGTAAGTGTATGTATATTGACTGGTGAGCAGAGTCACCAGCATAAAAATACTAACTCTGCCACCTGTCTTATTAATTTTTGTAATAAATGAATCTATCTGTAGCTTAAATTATCTCACACATAAACTACATATGGTAAAAGATATTAGAGAGGAAGCATTTAACTTGTCCATATCTCTCTAACAGAAGGCAAATCAATATCCAAGTGGTCACCCATACAGTTACTTACCAACACCAGCAGTACTTAACCTGGTTGAGTATCATGAGTGTACTCATCTAACTGTTTCTCATTATTTTGATAAGGTTTATAACAGTGAGTAACAATGTTTCACCCCCCCACACACACATATGTTAAATCACTAGAAAAAATTCTTAACTGGATATTTGAAGAAAACAATAAATACAATGAACTACATGATATATTGTACACAGAAATTAAGCAAATTAAAACAAAGTGAAGCCAAAGGAAAACAAACACTCAACCAGGTAGACAGAAGGAGTCCAAAATATACCATGATATTTAACCCTTTCAGGGTCCGTCCCGTAGATCTACGGCTTTATGTTCAGGGTCCAAACCGTAGATCTACGCCAAAATTCTAGCGGCATCAAATTTAGCGTGAGAAGGCTAGTAGGCCTACATATATTTATTTATTTATTTATTTATTTATTTATTTATTTAGTAATTTTAGCATACATACAGAGGTACAAAAAAATACAGGTAAGAGCAGCATGCCAAAGCCACTTATATGCATAGCATTACGGGCTGGCTTAAAATTAACTTAAGATTAACTAAGCGATGCTGAAATCAGTGATAAAACATTATTGTAAACAGATAACTATAAAGCACAAATGAGTATTACAAAGACAGGTCATATGGTTGCATGCATTGCTGTACATTCAGTCGAATGGAGTATTCTGTTAGGTAGTGTATTTAAAAAAATAAAGTTAGATTGGGTCCTAGGTTTAACATTTGTGTGATATAATTGTGAGTAACATATAGGATATACAATTTATAAGGTTCAGTTATTCAGTATTTATTTGGTTTTGAGTGAGTAAGTGATCTTTGAGAAGAGACTTGAATTTATAAACAGGTAGTGTTTCTTTTATATTTACAGGTAATGAATTCCAGATTTTAGGGCCTTTTATGTGCATTGAGTTTTTGCATAGCGTGAGATGGACACAAGGAACATCAAAGAGTGATCTGTGCCTTGTGTTATGGTCATGTGTACTGTAGAGGTTGGCAAGGAGATGTTTGAGGGGAGGGTTAATATCAGAGTTAAGTGTTCTATGTATGTAATAGGTGCAGTAATAAGTATGGATGTTTTGTATGGTGAGTAGGTTGAGTGTTTTGAATATTGGTGGAGTGTGCTGCCTGTAGTGAGAATTTGTTATCTTTCTAACTGCAGCCTTTTGTTGGGTAATTAGTGGTCTGAGATGGTTAATTGTTGTTGAGCCCCATGCACAAATTCCATAGGTGAGATAGGGGTAAATAAGAGAGTGATAAAGGGCCAGGAGGGCTGACTATGGAACATAGTACCGTATCTTCGATAGTATGCCTACAGTCTTGGAAATTTTCTTAGAAATTTGTTGTATATGTGTATGAAATTTGAGTCTATTATCAAGGTGGATTCCTAAGAATTTTCCCTCTGTTAGCTTTGTGATAGGTGATCTGTTTATCGTTATGTTAAGAGGTACATCTGTAGCTCTGTTACCAAACTGAATGAAGTAGGTTTTGTCAATGTTTAGTGTAAGTTTGTTAGTCCTCATCCAGGTAGATATTTTCTGTAATTCGGTGTTTACAATATTGGCTAGCGTGACTGGGCTCGGGTGAGAGAAGACGTATGTAGTGTCATCTGCAAAAAGTGTGGGTTTGAGTAATTATGTATAGGAGAAAGAGAAGAGGGCCAAGGACACTTCCCTGTGGGACACCAACTGTAATTGGTTGAGCGGAAGAGCTTGCCCCATTTGCGTACACATATTGGCTTCTGTTGCTGAGGTATGACTTGAGGTAGTTGAGGGAGTGCCCTCTAATACCATAGTGTGACAACTTCACGTGGAGCAAGTCATGGTCAACTGTATCAAAAGCTTTACGTAAGTCAATGAAGATCCCCAGTGGGACTTCTTTTTTCTCTATTGCAGTGTATATATGTTCTAGCATGTGTATAATAGCATCATTAGTATTTTTATTAGGCCTGAATCCAAATTAGCAGGGGTTGAGAATGTTTTGGGAGATGAGGTAGGAGTAGATTCGTTTATGAATTAATTTTTCGAAGATTTTTGAGAGAGAATGAGTCTGGGTGGACAGTGTGCACACTATAGAAAAAATCTGGACGCCTGCATGGCATTGTGGGAACGCCGGCAAAGTAGCTTTGTTCATCATGCCTGGCGGCAAGGAAGCTCTCACTCCCCACTCACTCTCCTGGCAAATTCTGACTCTCCTCTTCACAACTTACAGTTCTAAGACTGATGGAAGTGGAGCTGAAGAGGAATTCTATGGTTTTGAACCATATGGTACCATTTGGTACCATTGTACCATATGGTACAGGGTACCTTATGGTACAGGGTACCATATGGTACAATGGTACCATGTCATACAATGGTACAATATGCCATATGGTACATTGTACCATATGGTACATTGTACCATATGGTACATTGTACCATATGGTACATTATACCATATGATACATTGTACCATGTAGTACAGGGTACAGGGACCCTAATGGAAATAAGTCTGTCTGACTTTTTTGGGTTATCCTAGGTTCTCCAAACATATGCTGCTAAGTATGATATTCTATGTAACTTTATTTGTGTATAACTAAATAAACTTACTTACGATGTCACATGCGCTTGAGTAAGTTTATTCAGGATAACAGAAATACAGGTACCCTGCACCATATGGTACCCTGCACCATATGGTACCCTGCACCATATGGTACCCTGCACCATATGGTACCCTGCACCATATGGTACCCTATACCATATGGTACCCTGTACCATATGGTACCCTGTACCATATGGTACCCTGCACCATATGTTATCCTGTACCATATGTTATCCTGTACTGTATGGTACCCTATACCATATAGTACAAAGTACCATATGGTACCCTGTAACATATGATACCATGTACCATATGGTCAATAGGTGTTGGTGGCATGAGACACCAGCCAAGACTGAGTGAGTGGCGACACAAGCTAGCTACTGACTCAGCAGTTTCCAAGACAAAGCGCTCTGTCATCCACCTCAAGTAACGTGTTGAGTTCCTGTACATTTGTAAATATATAATAGAACATTACTAATATACAACATTTTTGCATATTTTTGTTGTAAACAACTATTGTAAACAAAATAATGAAAATATTAATGTGTTTATTGTGTTGAATATAACAGTACCATATGGTACAATGAACCATATGGTATCATTGTACTGTATGGTACAATGTACCATATGGTACCATTGCACCATATGGTATCATTGCACCATATGGTACCATTGCACCATATGGTACCATTGTATCATGTGATACCATTGTACCAAATGGTGGCATTGTACCATGTTCTACCATATGGTACCATTGTATCATATGGTACCATTGTATCATATGGTACCATTGTATCATATGGTGCCATTGTACCATATGGTACAATTGCACCCTATGGCACCATTGTACCATATGGTACTATATGGTACCGTTGTATTCAACACAATAACCGCACTAATATTTTCATCATTTTGTTTACAAGAAACTTGTAAACAAGTTTTGTAAGCAATATAATGATAAACAAATTAGTGCAGTTATTGTGTTGAATACAATGAGTGTACACTTATACAATATATATTATACTGGTCTCACAGGCCACAAATGTTACTAGAAAAAGAAAAAAATTAGAAAAGAAAAGAAAAAGTATAAAAAACGTAAAATAAAAAAATGTGATTTTGCGGAAGTCATTGATGTTGCCGCCACCCGGTCATTTTGGGTCAACTTCCCGCCGCTGTATCTCGGTAAGTACTGATCAGAAATTTTTTTCTTTTAATTACCTTCACAAAAATATTATTATCTTTAATTCTGTAAGAAAAATTTTTTTTTCAAAATTTCTTGGACACTGGGGCACCACTTCAGATTTTGGCCTTGGACCCTGAAAGGATTAAGCTACAAAAAAGGTATTCATGTAAGTGGTAATCCTATGTGGGTCATTCAGTGGAAGGTGTGATGGAAGGTGAATGTTAGGTTGTCTATGCACAAGACAGATGCTCTAGTCTGGTAATGTAGCACAACGGTAAGTAAAACACAGTATGAACAAGGCAGCTTATTGAGGAGATACATGGACACTTAGACACTCAAATGAACAGTGATTTACAAGAAGGAATTAATAAAGTACAATAGAATTTACAAACAAAAAGTCTTCCTATAAAATATTCATAACTCATATACAGGGACAAGAAAAAATATTCATTAAGCAAAAAATATGTATCAAGCAATTGTAAGAACAAAAGTTATAACTTGTGATGGGAACCAGCACAAGTTATAACCTGTGATGGGAACCAGCACAAGTTATAACCTGTGATGGGAACCAGCACAAGTTATAACCTGTGATGGGAACCAGCACAAGTTATAACTTGTGATGGGAACCAGCACAAGTTATAACCTGTGATGGGAACCAGCACAAGTTATAACCTGTGATGGGAACCAGTACAATAACGTTCTCTATTTAATTCCTATTTTTTTTTCATTCTTGTTATGTTAGCTAAGAAAATATGAGTTTATCACACATTTTTTTAACATGCTGGCCATCTTCCACCAAGTCAGGGTGACCCCGAAAAAGAAACACTCTCACCACTATTCACATTATTAGTCTTGCCAGAAGCATATGGATACATTTCAGATGTCCCTCCAAA